AAGGCTGTAGAAAGTGGGTTAAGGTGAAAAGAGACTTAAAGATTTTGCAAGCACAAGGTAAAGTAGGCGGACTTTCCATTGGTATTACTTTTGTGAAAATCGATTGAGTAGTTTTTGAGAAAAACTTACAAAAAATGATAATTTTTGAAAAAAGTGATAATTTTTTCCAGAGCGTCTCAAAAAAATGAAATAAACAAACCCGATCTCATACATTTTCATAAAACTAGTACCTGTTTTAATCAAACAGTAACTTACATAATCCCCATTTCTATCTATTGAAACTCTTTGAAAGCCCGTGCTAAGGTAATTAATCAAGTAAAAACAATTTATTTTTAAAGCTAAGCATGCCAGCAGTCTGCAAGTGAAACTTACCTTTCATTCTAAATTGACCACTCTGTGAATAAAATGATTTGAAAAAAAAAATCTAGTGCCTAATTCCAACACCCAAGGGTGGACATAGCCAACAAACAGTTGAAAGCTCTCAATGAACGCAACGAAATAAAAAAACTGACTCATTTGAAAAAAAACTTTTCGACTTTCGAATTTGAAAGTACAAATTATATGCCCCTAAAGCTCTTCGAATTTCGCGAAAAAAAATCAAAGCCAACTAACAGTTGGAAAAAAACTAATGAACGCAAGGAAACTGGAAAAAACGACTTGTTTTTTCAAAAATCTTCTTGAATTTTGAAGAAAAAAATAGATGGCCTTAAAGCTCTTTGAATTTGTAGAAAAACTTATAATGGACACTTTTTTGTTAAAATTAACCCATTTGAGAAAACTGGATTAATAGGTAAAACTTTTATTGCGTTGGGAAATCGGATAATTTATTTCCATTTTCGAAATTAGAAGTTGATCACGTTTTTCGTGACCTTTACAATTTTGCTGTTTGAAAGTAGAGTTTGCCTTCCTTTTTACAAGAAAAATGCATTGAACTGAAAAAGAAATCACAATTCAAACCGCAAAAAAAAACAAAATTGAGCTTGAACAAATTTTTAAGACTTTTCCTGATAAAAAAAAATCAGCAAGACCTAAGCACTAAATTCATTACTCTTAATTATGATTGGCACTTTTTAACACAAAATTAACACAACTTGAAAAAACTGGAGTAGATCAATAGGTAATTTGCTTGTTTCGCAGGAAAACTGGTACCTATATACCACTTTCGAAATTAGAAGTCAATCGCGTAGTTCGTGACCTTAACACTTTTGCTGTTCGATAGTGGAGTTTGCCTTCCTTTTAACAAGAGAAATGCATGTAACTGAAAAAAAATCACAATTCAAACCGCAAAAAAAAAAATTAAGCGTGAACAAATTTTTAAGACTTTTCCTGATAAAAAAATCAGCAAGACCTAAGCACTAAATTCATTACTCTTAACTATGATTGGCACTTTTTTAACACAAAATTAACACAACTTGAAAAAACTGGAGTAGATCAATAGGTAATTTGCTTGTTTCGCAGGAAAATCGGTACCTATATACCACTTTCGAAATTAGAAGTCAATCGCGTAGTTCGTGACCTTAACACTTTTGCTGTTCGATAGTGGAGTTTGCCTTCCTTTTAACAATAGAAATACACTAAACTTGGAAAATCAAAAGTCAAACCGCGAAAAATCAAATTTGAGCAGAAAAAATATGTAAACTTCCTGAAAAAAACACCACAACCTATATAAGAGTTTTCACTACGTTCATCGACTCTCATTAAAAATAATCAAATTTGAGAAAACTGTTTCAATAGCGAAAAATTTTTATTACGCTGAAAAATCGGAAAATTAAAATCTCCTTTTAGAAACCGATCACGTTTGTGGTGACCTTTTGCTGTTCGATAGTGAAGCTTGCTATCTTTTTAGCAAAAGAAAAGAACTGAGCTTAAAAAAGAGTCAAGAGTCAAACACCAAAATCATATCTGAGCGTGTACAAATTTGACAAATTCTTGAAAAAGACAAACAAAAATCATCGCGACCTGTATAAAAGTTTTCACTACGTTCATTTACTCTAAAAACATCAACTTTCGACTTCCGAAACTAAAATAAATGGCTTCAAAGCTTGTATCCCAATTTAATAAAAACTGGATCAATGAGCTTGAATAAATTGTAGATCATTTTCCTGAAAAAAGTCAAAATGACCAAAATAAGAGTCTTCATTGCGTTCATACTGGTTCTTAAGAACACAGAAGAAAATCCAATGAATCTTTATACCACGTTTATATCGGCCAGGAATAAATATCGTCCAAAATTAACAGGACAAACGTGTACTGTATGCAATACCTCGCGTTAAGTGGTGAAATCTGTGAACGAAGTTTTAAACGAGAAAATCGAGTAACTCGATTACAAAATACTTGCTCTCGCAAGTTTAATTACCAAAATAATCTGGTCATCACAAATAGACCAGATTCATTTATGCAATTGGCTTAAGAGGCAACATTTTCTCACTCAAAACTTTAACACCAGTGCCACCCATTCCCTTTCCATTTAATTTACGTCTTTTGGCCGACGAACGCCAAATTTTTCAAGTACCCCTGCAGCACCAATACATAAATATTTCGAAGAGGAAGGAGCAAACATTTTTTCGCATACAGAATTGAAGCAGTTTCGAACCACTTGCGATATATCACAAATATCAGACAAGCTAGCCGACAGAATTGAGAAGAAAAAAGTCTGACCAAGTTTGTCTTGAATAAGTTCATTTTGAAAAAAAAACTTTTCCAGAAAGATGAGTGTTAGAGTTAAATTAGCATTCAAACTTAACTTATGAAGTTGTTAATAAGGTGACAACACTTGAATCGACACCTATTGATCCAAAAAAAATTACACACAAATTTTGGGCTCGAAAAACTTTTGGAAAACGAAGTATATGTACCCAACAGTAATTTCACCTGTACGATAGGGGGATTGATAGCTGGTAGCTGGGTAGCTGAATGGCAGGGTATGGGAATGATTAGCTGAATGGTTCGTTAGCTGGATGTATGGATGATTAAACGGTTGGCTGGATGATATTAAGTAGTGAATGGCTTGATGGATGGATGTATGTCTAGGTAGATGAATGGCTTGATGGTTGGTTGGCCTGATGAATGAATGGATTGATGCATGGATGGCTGGATCGATGGATGGCTGTTTGGAAGGATAGCCGATTGGTTGGTTAACTTGTAGGATGGCTAGATAGATGGTTCGCTGGATGGCGCTGGATGATAGGTGGCTCAATGGACGAATCGATGGCTGATTGGATATATGAATGAACGGATGGATCGATGGAAGGCTGAATGGACTTATAGCTAGATTGTTGGTTAGATGGATGGCTTGATGAATGGATGGTTAGACAAATGGATAGATGAATTATGGATGGATGACTGGCTGGATTAATGAATTGCTTGATTTATGGATAACTGAAGTGATGAACGACTTGAGTTTTGGCTGGATCGTTGAATGGCTGATTGGAGTGATGAATGACTTGAGTGATGGCTGGATTGATTCATGGCTGATTGGATGAATAGCTGATTGGGTGGCTGGTAGGTCAGATAGATAGTTGGCTGGATAGATGGCTGGCTGGATAGATGAATGGATCGATAGCTCAATGGATGTATCGATGGATGGGTGAACGGATGAATGAGCGGTTAGACTGATGGAATGGATGCCTAGATGGTTGGTTAGATGACAAAGGGGATGACTGGCTGGATGGACGAATGGATGATTGTTCGGTTATTTGGCTAGATGGATCATTGGATGAATGGATTACGAAGGATGGCTGGAAGAATGGGCCGGTAAATGAACAATTGTCTTGATGGCTGGTTTGATATATAAATGGCCAGATGGATCGCTTGATGAATAAATTGCTTGCTGGAATGATGGATGGCTGGACGGATCGAAGTGTGCACTATCATACTCTCCGCTGCTCTCCCCCCACCATCAAGTATTGGTATATGCAAAGCCTAAAAATGCAACCATGTGCTCTGGCGCTTAAACATAGCTAGATACAAGTCACAGGCATTTTTAACTCGTATAGATAGAAGTTTCGCGTTATTTGTTCCAGGTTCTCAATTTTTAAAGCCCCGTGGCTTGACAAAAAAGAATCCGACAATTTATCTTTTTAGTTTTGAATTCAAAAAATTACGGGCTTTCAGTTCATATGAAAAACCCGCCGCAAATGGCTAATTTAAAATCGAAATTTATCTGAAGAGAGAAAAATCACATCGACCGCATATTCCGTCGTATTTTTCGAAAACTGGAACAAGGATTCCTGGTAGCCAGTAGCACTGAACTGCTACATAACAGCTCGTTTGATATGCACAGAGGCAAAGCTCCGCTTCGCACAAATTATCGAGAACACGACAGAAAAAAAACAGCTTTCTAAATTGATAAAAGAAAAAAAGAAGTAAGCCTCGAATTATAAAATTTTGATACGTATTGGCATCAAATCTGCGACCTCGACAGTTTGAATCTCATGCCCTGCCTTCTCGGCCACGAACGCTTAACAATCGGCAAACACTACTCACAAATAAAGCAGCTATATATGCTAATAGATTGCCAATGCGATGCAGCAAAATTGCCACCAAATACAAATAGACACAATTTTGCAAGTAATCAACTTGAAATATAACAAGCTGAAGGTATCCACACTAACTTTGCATGAAACATAAAGCCACATTATGCATAGATTAAGCATTTCAAAAAAATTGCGAGATATATTCAGCTACAAAATTTTTGGAATCGAGTTTTTATTAATTCTTCTGTAGTTTGAATTAAAAAAGCTTTTATCGGTTTGATTGATGATTAAAAATTGCAGAAACGGTATTATCTTATTACTAATCGAATGTCAAAGCACATGCTGTCAAAAAAATCCGTAAAGGTGCCACCAAAATTGACAATATTTTCGACTTGGGCTAGAAAAAATCATTGTCGTATTATTACACTAACGCTCACTTAAGTTCGCTAGTGTCATAACTAGAGGGATTATCTTACAAATATGTACATTAGCGATAAAGCACGTCAATTTTGATGCACAACTAACCAGTCTAATGGCCAACGATGTAGATGAGGATCGCATATTTTTGTCCAAAACGATACCGTGAAAGTGGATTACATTTGTGTGTCGGACACTTAGCATCACTCTAACTTCTTTCATCAAACTTTCAATTGATCCGGATGTGTTTCCTGGTTTCAATTCTTTCACGGCTACCCTAGTTTGACCTCGCAACAATGCTTTGTACACTTTGGCAAAATGACCCTGCCCTATAAGTTCAAAATTGGTCAGGTCATCATCGCAAAGCAAAACGGGTTCCATGTTTCCCGACGTAAGCATGTTACCAGAGCCCGGAGGAACCGATGATCCTCGAAATCCAGGAATCATTGCAGTGCGGTCGCTACTTGCCCAACTTTGCCGCGATTGACTTTTGGATAATTGGAACGGTTGAATGCCTGTTTTTGGTTGAGAGTGCGAAATGCTCATCAAATTAGGAGCTTTGATGATCCTCTAAAAAAACAACTGAATTTATTATACAATTTCTGCCTTCAGATAAAAAAAATCTTACACTGATAGAAAAAATTTTAACCTTGCTTGTGAAGGGGATTTTTGTGTACCCTGCCTTCTTGCGATACTTGTCCAAAAGCATACGAGTTAGTGGTAGCGGCATTCCAATTTCTACAATTACACACATCTCAACATCAATTAATTAGCTTTAAACAGTAACAGCAATATGTTTCGTTTCGTGTAATATGTTTTTCCTTTATTTCTCGACAGTATATATTTTTTTCTGATAAGTATTTGGCCTTTGCAAATCGGAAAAGGCTATAATACAAAAAACACCGTTTTGGGGGTTATATTTTTTTAATATGAAGCTCAGGGGGCTATGATGTGAAAAATACCCTTTACTGACCCAAATGCCATATTTCACTGTAAAAAATGCCATGTTTCAACTTAACTGACCCTAATCCCAAATGCTTTACTGTCCCAATTGTCAAATTTTATTTACCAAGAAGATCTTCTTTTTTGACATATTTCAATTGCTCGAAGTTTGTCACGCCCAGCTGCAACCGTATAGGTTCTAAATATTGGACTAGCTCCAGCTCCGTCAGGAAGTCGCACAGGTCAATGCTTTGAGTAGGCATGCTTACAAGACACAAAAATATTAATTTCAAAGCATTTGACCTGTCTCTGCTACCAAATCTACATTTCTTTCACTGAAATCACTATTTTTTTTGCAGAATTCAGAACAAACTACAGAAGTAGACAATGTTGAACTAACTTTAAGTTAAGTTGTTCAATTGATGACTTGGAATGAGGCGAACACTGGATGTCTCCGAAAAAGAGCAAACCTGTTGCATGAACCTACTACTACTACTACTGAAAGAATTAATTCCCTTTAACATATATAAATGCATCATACAGATTGTTGAAAGGCTATTTACATGGTTTATTACTGTAATCAAGAACGGATATTGATGCAATTACAGGCCAAAAACACAGTACAGGAGTTATTTAAATCAAATGAGTTAACCCTCGCTTGCAGATAGTTTTTGAGTGACTTCTTAAACGCTTCAGGACATGCAAAAATATCTGCAATATCTTTAGAATATAGTATGTTTACATACCGGCACACGCGATAGAAGACGAACTGCTCTGTGAAGAAGAGACGACCATTCTTGGTTGCTGTCAGTCTAGGGTAGGCAGTGTTACGAAGATCTTTGACGGAGAAGGCAAAATTAATGAATTTGTAAATGTCGAAATTACTTCCGTTCAGCATGGTTTCATGATGAAACGATCGACCATTACCCAACTTCTTGAATATCTTGACAAAATTTATTCAAATAATGAGACGAATCTTGAAAGTCTTTCAGTATACTTCGATTTTTGCGAAGCTTTTGATCGAGTACCTCATCATATTTGTAACATTCGTCTACTGTAGTCACACATGAGGCTTAAGAAAAATAGGCCCTATAACCACTGGCTCAAGGGTCAGGGACACTATCTCTTGTGTTTTTCTACCTCAAGAACGGTCGGAGCCAGTTCGGTTCGTTTGTGACATGAGACTACGACCCGTTACAGCTTAAAGGCTACTACTAAAATATCCCCCCACTCTAGAATTAGAAACGTCCCCATACTTAGGTCTCTAGATACCCAAAATACATGAACGCCGTTAAAAACCGGGTTGGAACAATCCGTTAAGTTGCTTTTTTATTAGACAGTGGAACTTTGATCCATTTCAGATGGATCAACCTAAAACTCGCCTTACCTCAACATAACAATCATAAAACACACTCTAGAATTTAAATTTGTACTCACATAGTAGCACGCTCAAGAAGTGGGAAATAATCCAGTCGGTAGTTAACTCAAGAATTAAATAACGTAACTAAATGAGTCTAATGTTTTATAGTTTTAACAATGAGAACGAGTTTATACTCTAGACAATAGTTTTCCTGTGAACCATTAGGACACTCAAGTTGTCCACCTTTCCACCGAAGGTTCACTCTAGTCCAGTTCCGAATAACACTCCAGTCGCTATAATCCAATTCGTGGGAATGCTTTCGTCTCTGTCACAGATGGGACAGCTCTACTCTCGATTATGATAGTGATGGAAATTGCGAATAGCAATTTCCTACTGCTTTTTCTTACAACTTTCCCGCGTGTGTGTCTCAATCGTTCTGAAATTGTTCTCACTTCTTTTTCTGATTTTCAGTTCTCGCGAGAAAATCGTGCATGACAGGTTCCATTCGAAATTGTGAAAAATTAAATTCCACTCCAAAATCAAGTGTTTTTTGCTTCTCTCAAGGTCAAACTTCCAAATATGACCGACTGGCACATACTCCCCGGACTCGAGATCGATGTCCTCATCGCGTGCTGTCTTCTGCCAGTGAGTCCCAGAAAACCGAGTGTTACTCAAGATACAGTGCCAGTGGTCATTTACAGAAGTTTGCAGCAGATTTAAGCTTATCTACACCCCAAAATTCACAGCCATTTAAAATTTTCACACTATTGCTAAACAGCAACCAAAATCTGCATACACCTGCACCCTTGAATTTTCGCTTTTCAAGCCAATCATTTTAAAATCTCTTTTGTCCTATTCAATCAGGAAATTGTCATGCAGCATTTCGATTTATATAGTAAATATAGTATATTAGTAACAATATTTGCTTTGTTAAAATTTCTTTTTCGTGAATCCAAGTTTCACTCGGATCCACGCTCAAGCCCCCCTTTCCTCTCAAGACTCAAGATCCATCCGATTTGCCCATTCATCTCGTACTCTTCGCCTTGGAGGTACTGCATCCTGAAGTGCTAGATGCGGCAAACTGTCTCAACAGTTCCTCTTCATCATCGGAACTAATCACAATCTCCTCCCAAGCCTTCAGCTGTTCATAGGATCGCATCCATTCTCTCTGCTCCTGCAACCTCTTTGCTTGGTTGGGTAGTGCCTTCACCCTAGCTTCTCGGTTCAAGCAAAAGGAGTTGTGCAGGCTCAAGCTCACGTTCTTCGCCAGGTCTTCCTCTAGTATCGACTCCCTCGCTTTGGTATTGTCTCTAGACATCTTACCCACTCTTTTCCATCCTGTCGTGATCGCATTACGATGGGTTAGCAGGGGTCTCTTGAAAGCTTCCGGCCCAATCTCGGCCTGGAACTGTCGATACTCTTTTTGATGTTTTCTCATGTGATCTTTCGTTGTCATGTACAACCAAGACGTCAGTGTCGCCCGAAACCATGGAAAGTACCTCAAGCGACTCCATACGTGCCTGACTTCCGTCGGTATGGCGAATACTTTGCACGCAGTCTCAAACAATTCGAGTCTCCTGCTGTAGTCTATCGCGTATATTGACTCAGCCGTTGGCGTCGTCGCCTCCCGATAGTTCGTTATATTCTCTTCTATCCATCTCAGAGCTCAGAAAATTGACAATATTTTCGACTTGGGCTAGAAAAAATCATTGTCGTATTATTACACTAACGCTCACTTAAGTTCGCTAGTGTCATAACTAGAGGGATTATCTTACAAATATGTACATTAGCGATAAAGCACGTCAATTTTGATGCACAACTAACCAGTCTAATGGCCAACGATGTAGATGAGGATCGCATATTTTTGTCCAAAACGATACCGTGAAAGTGGATTACATTTGTGTGTCGGACACTTAGCATCACTCTAACTTCTTTCATCAAACTTTCAATTGATCCGGATGTGTTTCCTGGTTTCAATTCTTTCACGGCTACCCTAGTTTGACCTCGCAACAATGCTTTGTACACTTTGGCAAAATGACCCTGCCCTATAAGTTCAAAATTGGTCAGGTCATCATCGCAAAGCAAAACGGGTTCCATGTTTCCCGACGTAAGCATGTTACCAGAGCCCGGAGGAACCGATGATCCTCGAAATCCAGGAATCATTGCAGTGCGGTCGCTACTTGCCCAACTTTGCCGCGATTGACTTTTGGATAATTGGAACGGTTGAATGCCTGTTTTTGGTTGAGAGTGCGAAATGCTCATCAAATTAGGAGCTTTGATGATCCTCTAAAAAAACAACTGAATTTATTATACAATTTCTGCCTTCAGATAAAAAAAATCTTACACTGATAGAAAAAATTTTAACCTTGCTTGTGAAGGGGATTTTTGTGTACCCTGCCTTCTTGCGATACTTGTCCAAAAGCATACGAGTTAGTGGTAGCGGCATTCCAATTTCTACAATTACACACATCTCAACATCAATTAATTAGCTTTAAACAGTAACAGCAATATGTTTCGTTTCGTGTAATATGTTTTTCCTTTATTTCTCGACAGTATATATTTTTTTCTGATAAGTATTTGGCCTTTGCAAATCGGAAAAGGCTATAATACAAAAAACACCGTTTTGGGGGTTATATTTTTTTAATATGAAGCTCAGGGGGCTATGATGTGAAAAATACCCTTTACTGACCCAAATGCCATATTTCACTGTAAAAAATGCCATGTTTCAACTTAACTGACCCTAATCCCAAATGCTTTACTGTCCCAAATGTCAAATTTTATTTACCAAGAAGATCTTCTTTTTTGACATATTTCAATTGCTCGAAGTTTGTCACGCCCAGCTGCAACCGTATAGGTTCTAAATATTGGACTAGCTCCAGCTCCGTCAGGAAGTCGCACAGGTCAATGCTTTGAGTAGGCATGCTTACAAGACACAAAAATATTAATTTCAAAGCATTTGACCTGTCTCTGCTACCAAATCTACATTTCTTTCACTGAAATCACTATTTTTTTTTGCAGAATTCAGAACAAACTACAGAAGTAGACAATGTTGAACTAACTTTAAGTTAAGTTGTTCAATTGATGACTTGGAATGAGGCGAACACTGGATGTCTCCGAAAAAGAGCAAACCTGTTGCATGAACCTACTACTACTACTACTGAAAGAATTAATTCCCTTTAACATATATAAATGCATCATACAGATTGTTGAAAGGCTATTTACATGGTTTATTACTGTAATCAAGAACGGATATTGATGCAATTACAGGCCAAAAACACAGTACAGGAGTTATTTAAATCAAATGAGTTAACCCTCGCTTGCAGATAGTTTTTGAGTGACTTCTTAAACGCTTCAGGACATGCAAAAATATCTGCAATATCTTTAGAATATAGTATGTTTACATACCGGCACACGCGATAGAAGACGAACTGCTCTGTGAAGAAGAGACGACCATTCTTGGTTGCTGTCAGTCTAGGGTAGGCAGTGTTACGAAGATCTTTGACGGAGAAGGCAAAATTAATGAATTTGTAAATGTCGAAATTACTTCCGTTCAGCATGGTTTCATGATGAAACGATCGACCATTACCCAACTTCTTGAATATCTTGACAAAATTTATTCAAATAATGAGACGAATCTTGAAAGTCTTTCAGTATACTTCGATTTTTGCGAAGCTTTTGATCGAGTACCTCATCATATTTGTAACATTCGTCTACTGTAGTCACACATGAGGCTTAAGAAAAATAGGCCCTATAACCACTGGCTCAAGGGTCAGGGACACTATCTCTTGTGTTTTTCTACCTCAAGAACGGTCGGAGCCAGTTCGGTTCGTTTGTGACATGAGACTACGACCCGTTACAGCTTAAAGGCTACTACTAAAATATCCCCCCACTCTAGAATTAGAAACGTCCCCATACTTAGGTCTCTAGATACCCAAAATACATGAACGCCGTTAAAAACCGGGTTGGAACAA